TATATTTTCATCTTATTGATGGAAGTAGCAGGTAGAAAGAGGTTACTTTCATCAATAAGATGAGTAAGATCGGAATGAATCTTTCGCCAGAATATGGAAATACGCACTACTTTCCAGCCATGAGCGCAAAGAGATAGACAGAGGATAGTTCCATATGTGGCATGAGCAAAATCGGAATGAATCTTCCACTATACTATGGAAATATTCAAGCACTGCATATTTCACTGGAGGGTGGACTACACCTTTGTCTCACCGTGACTCTTCCGAAGGAGGCGTCATACGTCACTTTGCATCACCATACACTTGATCATCTACAACTCGGAGTCAAGTTGTTGGCCTTGGTGCCACAGGTGCATTTTTGGCGTACGGCATGATTTTTTATGCAAATACATTCATTCATATTTTGAGAAGTACTAGAAAAAAAAAAAAAAAGTCTAGAAAAAAAAAAAAGTTTAAAAGATGGTTATACTACCTAGAATGAGATGCACAAACAACCTGAGGTAGCAACCTCAGAGTGCAACCACATAACTTACACTTGTGACGATTTGGTTGGGAAGTGGGAGCTATATACGAATACGTTTTAGCCGTATTCTAGCGTAAGTGGCACCCACTTCCCAACCGTGTTGATTTGTTTCCCGTTCTGATGCTACCGGCTGACCCCTGGCTGGTATCGCCGACCTGCTGGAGCAAGTATCGCACCTGCTGGTGGGCGCAGCTCCCGCATGTTCCCTCGCTGGAGGCTTGAACATGGATGTGGCTGCTACGGGGTTCCCCGTAATACTATAATGAAAAAAAAAAAACAAGGCCTGAAGTGGAAGGAAAAAAAAAAGGGGGAGGGGGGGGGCAAATAACACCACAAAAACACGCAATTCTACAGGACCGGGCCGCAGTACACGACCGCCACACACACACACACGCACTCTCTCACCTGCACTGCATACTGAAATGTGGGTCAAAAACCATGTTGAATACGTGTTGGTTCATGTTGGAGGTCTGTACGAAACCATGTTGGAATCGTTGAGAAAAAGTTGGAGACCTGTTGGAAACCATGTTGGACTTGTTGGGAATAAGTTGATAATGTTGATGAGTAGTTGAATACAGTGGAAGACCCAGTTTCAACAGTTGGTCACAACCCTTCTCGCGTAAATAAGTTAGACATCAAAAAAAAAAATTGTTGAATTTCGGCGATAATTTTTCTATTGAATGAAGTATAGCCAAGTTATAACCTTTGGGTTCCAGCAGGTGCGAGGCATTGGGTCAGACTACCTAAACTTCTAGAATAGTCTGACTCTTTGTCTGGTTCCTCTCTGATCCAACCTGTGCGCAGCATGGGGTCAAGGTCACACAAACTTATAGAATGACCTTGTCCTCTGCCAAATTTATTCCCTCAGAATAAAACAAGAAGCGGTTGAGCCACCTACACTTATAGAATGACCCAGAACTCCTCGTTTAGAACTAAATAAAGGCATGCAGAGGCAGGACTGACACTGAGGGATGAACTGAAAGTCGGGCTACTGAGCCAAGTTGTACGCAGACCCAATACGGGTTCGCAAAGTAAATGGCTGGATCCTAAGGGAACGATTCGATTTTGTTTCGTACAGTTTGTGAGGGGGTAAATGGTGTGGCCATGTATGGAGATGGCAAAAATTATGGAAGCTTTTTCACTCGCTCTGTTTCGACCGGTGCCGTGAACGTGGCTGGCGATTGCAAAGGCGAAGGGGCTAAGAGAACAGGGAGCGCACACCTGACCAAATCGCCGGTCCGCTGCTATTTGTCGAGCCGTGGTTTGCTGATTTGTTGCTGGTATGACAATGCG